ATCATATAAGACCTAGTTCTTATATTAGCCCTATATCTAACACACCGTATAATCCTAAAACTCTGCATGCCAGCAATGGGACGTGTCCACACGCGCCAGTTTGCACAGGTTTTAATCAATATCGACATTGACTGGATTTTTATCTCGTAGTGTCAATGCATGTAGTCACCGACGTTTATAGGGTTGATTTGGCAACTCATAGATACATGTTAGTGAGTCGCATAATATATACCCTGCTGTCATGCTCAAATAATATTTGTTCGTGCGTATCTAATAATATTTGCACGGCTGCCAGCGATACTATTGAGGCACAGAGTCAACCTTGCTCTTAGGCAGGGTCAGTTAGAAGAGCAACCAATTACTGTAACACAACGTAGAAGATTTTCTCGACGCGGTGAATTTTGTTTAAAATTACCGATGTCACCGTTATCTAGCGATAAAGATCATTGTTTATTGATTCATTTCATAAGTTAAACAAGACTGATAATGTTATGCTCGCGACTGAGCGTCACAATACTATCTAAAAATTCGATTACATACATCCTACTAACATTGGCATCGCTTCAAACAAGTAGGAATATCTTGGCTGCATGCATTAATCGCATCACGAGTGTATAATATAGAGATATTATATAGCAATGTATAATCTCTATATCATGCACTCCTTGTCGTGATATAGCGGCCTACGATACGATACGATACTCGATACGCGGTGTCCGTATCGCGATGGAAACGTGATTAAAGCGAATAAGGCAAGCTAAACTATTTAATAAAGCACATATAATTCCTTTTAAATTGAATTATTTTTTCTCTTATATGAACTCCCTCTCAGTATCACGTGAATATCATCGGATGCCGTAGAAATCGGGTAATATTGTGATTGCGCATATTATAATGTTAAATGGCAAAATTAATGCCTGTTTTGTTTGCCACTTTTAACACAAGAAATTAGTTAATGCCAAAATTCAGACGGTCTGATGACTTGACTGTGCAGTGAACGTTATTCTCCCCAGTTCTAAGTTCCTTCATTTTCAAAAATACCAGTAATGGACTTTCACATTACATTCAGCTCTCTTGCAAGGTCATAATATAAACGCCTAGCCTCATGTGCCCGACATTATATTATTTAATGGTAAACGTGTGTTTTTCTGTGTGAAAAACCCGGCGCAAAAACCATTAATTATTATCGCATCTGATAAACCAGTTGAAACCACAATGCCCACATTATAGAAATGGCGTCAGGCCTCTGGCGTATTAGTACTCTCTTGGTGAGTGTAAGTACTAGACAATGTCGGGCAGTTTGTTCAGACAATCGTACAAGTTATGCTAATGTGTAGATCGTAAGTTAACATGCCTAACGGACTATACGATACCACTTTATTAAGAAACTACTGTTAATCGTATCAATAGCTAGCGTTTACAAGAAATAGCGCATCGCCAAAGCTTAACGATAAGGAGAAAACCACGGATCATAGGAACTTGCCTACATTGAATTAGGGCATGAGTAGACCGTCCAAAACAAACGTATTCGCATACAATCAATCATTACCCATTTCCAAATTTTATATGTTGGTTTTAACTCCCGAGGTAGACAGATTTGAATAGAATTTTAGAAGAGCTTTTTTCTAAAAAACCGTTGAAAAAAATTGGTTATTTTCCAACTTGTTACGTTAATAAAATATTATTATTGGAATATTAAATCAATTATTATTTTAACAAATAGTGTATTGAATATTAAGTAGTATATATCTCAGTACATGGAAACATCATGGATACTTATATCATATAATTTTCACATCAAGCCATGTTGCACGATGTGAAAATAATAATACAGCACACGCAGAGACCGACAGTAGACGCGTTTCACATTAGGAAGATATTTTCACACGTCTATAAAAAATACAATGTATAATACATTCAGTACGAAGTGTAAAGCAACGTTATAACGGGAAGATATCCGATATGCCATATGTTTCTTGTTAACAGACTAGGGTCCCATAATTATCATTACACTAATGATACATTACTTACATAGCATCTACATTACATTACATTACATTATTATACAAATGCATTACTTACATTACATTACATTACATCTACCAATGTAATTAACATTAACATCTAATAGTACATAAACTAATTACATTACAATGACTATTACATTAGATACATTCACATTACAATACCATATACCATTAACATTACATTACATTACACCATACACTTACATTACATTACCGTTTACATTACATAATTACATTACAGTACCTTCTACATTACCTCTCAAATTATTTATAGTTAACATCCTATATGTAACATTTTACATTCTATCATTTACAATCACACAAACAATTTATTACATCCCACCATTACAAGTTGCTATTGCCATTGTCCCTATTGCCAATTCCGTTAACATTTACCCATTGACGTACATTACATTACATTGCACTACATGACATTTACATTACATTACATTACATTACATTGCACTACATGACATTTACATTACATTACATTACATTCTACATTATGCGAACCTCGACAACACATACCCTTATCCGTCGTTTCGAGTTCCTCGCTTTGTTTTTCTTTGGCCATTGCTTTACAAGCTCCGTAATTTTTCATTTACTGAGCACAGGCTACACTCGCGCACTGTCCGTACGGTGATGTTGCTGGCTACCTATATAGCTATACACGTTATCAGGCTACGTGCATCATTTATCACAGGGCGAATCACGTTCGAAGATACGTAAGTAGTAGCGCGAACGATACGTTATCGTTTAATCTATGTGACGAGATAGTGTCCTCGTGTAGGGGGATGCGATGAGGTGCAAACTAGAGGTTTAGCTACGGTGAAAGTTGATTATATTTACCATAAACATGCCTGCGCACGCACGCACGCACGCGCGCACGCACGCGCACGCACACATACACGCACACACACACACACACTCACACACACACACATACACGCACACACACACACACACTCACACACACACACACATCACATTCACACACACTACATGTAGTATTGTAATCTTACTAGCAGGACACCCGGCGTTGCCCGGGGAAAATAGCCCTCAGTTGGTTGACCACTTGGTTGAAAGAAAAGTACCCAAATATATCTATCTATCTTATCGTCATCTATCTATCTATCTAGTCTATCTATCTATCTATCGATCTATCTTATCTATCTATCTAATCTATCTAAATCTATCTTATCATATCTATCTATCTCAGCTATTATCTATCTATCTATCTAATCTATCTGATCTATCTATCTATTTATCTATCTATTCTTAGCTATCTATCTGATTCTATCTAATTTATCTATCTATCTAATCTATCGTACTATTTAGTCTATCGTATCTGATCTATCTATCTATCTAATCTATCGTATTCTATTTATCTATTTATTCATCTATCTATCTATCTATCTATTTATCTATTCTATTCTATCTATCTATTATTTATCTATCTATCTATCCTATCTTAATCTATCTAATCTAACTATCTACCTACGTTTCTACCTACCTACTACCTGACCTGACCTACCTACCTACCTACTCTACCTACCTACCTACCTACCTACCTACCTACCTACCTACCTACCTACCTACCTACCTACCTACCTACTACCTACCTACCTACCTAACCTACCTACCTACTAGCCTACCTACCTACCTAATCTACCTACCTACCTACTACCTTACCTACCTACCTACCTACCTACCTACCACTACCTACCTACTTAGCCTGACCTACCTTACCTACCTACCTACCTACCTACCTACTACCTACCTACCTACTAACTACCTAATCCTACCCTACCTACCTACCTACCTACCTACCTACCTACCTACGCCTACTCTACCTTACCTACCTACCTACCTACCTACCTACCTATCTACCTACCGTACCTACCTACCTACCTACCTACCTTACCTACCTATCTACCTACCTACTACCTACCTACCTACCTACCTACCTACCTACCTACCTACCTACTATCTACCTACCTACCTACCTTACCTAACCCCTACCTACGCCTACCTTACCTACCTACCTACCCTACCTACCTAGTATCCTACCTATCTACCTACCTACCTACCTTACCTACCTTAATCTACTATTCTAGCTATCTATCGTATCTATCTATTTATTTATTCTATCTATCTATTTATAATATATATATATATATATATATATATATATTAATATATCTGCCAGTTCTTCTATCCATCCATCCATCCATCTTATCCATTGCATGTTATCTATCTATTATCTATCTATCTATCTAATCTATCTATCTATCTCATCTATCTATCTATCTATCTATCTATATCGTATCTATCTATCTATCTATCTATCTATTCTATCTATCGATCTATCCTATCCTATCTATCTATCTATCATTTATCTATCTTTATGTCATCTATCTATCTATCTACTCTATGCTATCTATCTATCTATCTATCTTTATCTATTCTATCTACTCTAATCTATCTATCTATCTATCTATCATATGTAATGTATGATATGTATGTTATATCTATCTATCTATCTATCTATCTATTTATCTTATCTATCTATCTATCTATCCTAATCTATTATCTATCTTCTATGTATCTAGTCTCATCTATCTATCTAATCGATCTCATCTTATGCTATTCTAATCTTATCTATCTATCTATCTATCTATCTATCTATCTATCTATCTATCTATCTATGTATGTATGTATGCATATGTATTGTTAAGAACAGACAAACAGAGGTACATTCACAAATATGTTTAGATTCACATGTATGAGTATGGTTGTAGCCTAGGTATAGCCAGGTGCATTTATATATTTCCTATATTATAATGAATTAAAAAAAACGACAATCGCGCCAAAGAAGAAGAACAACTGATAAGCAATACTAGAAATAATGCAGACAAAATTTCTTTGGGCACTTAGATATATATATAGTGCATGAAATGAACTTTCATCGTATTCGTTGAATCTCACGACATCGACTCGTTGTTGCTTTCACAGGGAAGCGGACTATGCTGGTCGGAAGCATCAGCAGAGCCCGGTAACTCGTTCACTAGCGAGAGATACTCGCTCTCGTTCTCTAGCATGTTCTGCAGCCTCTCGTGGATCTCCTCAAAGGAGGGCCTATCGATCGGCTCATGCTGCCAACACGATGTCATGATGTTGTACCTACAATATTGATTACACAATCAATTAGGCCTTTCACTGGCTTAAACTACTATAGTGATAAAATCAGGCGGGTTAATAATGACAAATTTTTAAAACAATTTTTGACAATAAGTTACAAATTTCAATTTGCCATTATTAACCCTTTTGATAAACACGTAGGTTGGAGACAGATGTAAAAAAAACTCATATGAGAGTGAGTTTTACGGGGACTATTCCGTGAAGGCTGCAACTTTGTTTCCTCATTAAACTAGTGCAGGTTTATATTTATATTCTCGTTTCATTATATTTCAACGCCCGATATGATACACTTGGCAGAAATGCTCCCGCATGCATGCTATGGTACGATAGTATAGAGTCATATATACGATATATATATAAGAGTCCATAATAGAACATTTCTATTTTCTAAATTTCTATTCTCTATTATAGACTCTTGATAGTATGAACGTACATTTCATCGGAACACGAGAGAGGCTTTTCTAGTCGATGTCCTGCCTTCACAGCTGTGATAACATGCTCTGGTCGCTGGATGGAGCAATAAGGCACCGCACCTATGTATTCATTTACGTAATCATGTTATAAGAGCTGCACACATAGATATGAGGCGTTTTCGTTGACAACTGATGAGTAGTCGAAGAAATTGATAAATATTAGATTAGATTAGACGAGATTAGATACGATTAGATTAGAACAGAATTCATTACTTTCGATTGGCCTTGTGCATTTTTGCTTGCAATAATGGGCATTTTATAATTATTAGTAATGGTAGCGACTATTATAATTTATTATTATATTATCACGAGCTAGACATATGCAAAATAATTTTAAGATACATTAATATTTAAGCATAAGATAAGACTAATTTAAGATAAGATAAATTAAGATAATAGAATTCTATTCATCTACTTCGATGTTATTATTATTTATTCATATATTATTATTATATTTATTATTATTTATTATTATTACTTATTATTATTATTATTATTATCTATTCATTATTATTCATCGTCATTATTATCATTATTACGATACTAGCTGAAATATGCTGGATGCATCTCGATGATTTAATGTCATACCTAGGGGCTACTTATTTCCCAGAGCAATACACCAGCGACATACGTCACTCTTGGGCGTGTACATCCTGACCAGAGCGACTCTGCTGACATCCACCTCACTGGAACCCGACCTGGCTAAACAGTCAATCAACCATCATAAACAAACAATTGATTCACACCGCAGCGATGTCGAAAATGCAAAACCAGCCTCTATAGACAACACCGCGAGTTAGCAGCAGCAAGCACGTGTGAAGGGGCTTTCACATAAAATATATGCTAAATAAATACGATAATCTATTTACTACCAAAGTCTGTGGTAAATTGTTTCTCTATACTCTCTTTTCGCATATTTGCGACAATTTCCTGTAAATGGCCGTGCAAATGACTCCTCTGCAACACACCTGTACACCGCGCTCACGCTTGCCCGCACACTGAACAGCACACATATATATCATATATAGAGAGAGAGGACGAGTCTATAGAGTTGTAAAGCCTATTTTTTCTATGCGCGTTTACCTCGGCTGGATCTAATAGTCGTCTATACTGCGACAATATCAGGCTGCCAAACCGAAAGTTTGGAGAATCTTGCAGTGAGGCTCACTAGTGAGGCAGAACGCCTGCGAGTTGACGGGTCCCGGCATGCAGACACTTGATAACAGGCCAGGAACAGCACATGCATATCCATAACAACATATATACTAACAAAAGCATTACTAATAATACTATATGTACATTATACTAACAACACATACTAACATATACTATATACTATATGTACATATACTAACAACACATACTAATATATACTCTACTATATGCACATATGTTAACAACTATGCAACATAATTATACTAACAACAAATATTAATGTTTGCTCTCATACTCGTCGCACTCGCTTACTAATTAAGGGTCTTAATTACTAAATTAAAATACTGCGAGAAGCGAATTAAAAGCAAGTGTTCTAATCTGAATGCAGATTTTTTTTAGCAGATACTAGATATGCGGAAGTACAAATCTGACTCTATACGGTGCACAGGCACTTGGAACGTCTCAATAAAAAAAATTAATGGTAAATAAACACGAAATGTACCAAACCCCAAAGTCTTAATGGAACCCTCTTATTCATGTTGTTTGTGCACGCAGCATAGGGCGGGCGTGCGGTGTACTTGTGTGTTGCAAATGAGCATTTGACTGGCATTTACAGGTGATTATAGGCGAAATAGAGTAGAGAAGCATTAAGACTTTGGTATATTTCGTGTTTATTTACGATTCATTTTTTTATTGAGACGTTCCAAGTGCCTGTGATACGGTGGTACAGTGCTACATAACAAAATGCAAAAAACTGGGCGTCTTACAACTATTAGCAAGAAGCATTCAAGAAAAGATTTAGTGTCAGTCTACTCTTGAATAGGTGCTTTCTTATTTACATACAGGGTATCAACCACAGATATCATATAACAACATATATGTTGTTATATGATATCTATGGTATCAACATAATCAAACAGCCCTCACGCGCACCTTGTGATGCACGATGTGTCGCATCGCACCCGCCACCTGGTGGGCAAAACCAACCAGCTGTCTGCCCGTCAAGGTGACGCTCTCGGGATGAAGGTTCGCGTACGGCACATCAGGTGGCAGTGTGCGCTGCTCTTTTAAAAATCGCTTGAGATTGTCGTGCGGTAGAAGTTCGGTGACAATCGTCCTTCCGTACGTCGGATCGTCCGAGTATCCGAGGAAGCGTACGATGTTTGCGTGTGGCGGAATCATCTGTAGCGCCGTCAGTTCCTGCGTCAGCAAGCCGCATGCCACCGGGGACGTGAGATCTACGGTATTACAGGTGAATCGTGTCAACGAAGTTACAGGTAAATTGTGTCAACGAAGTTACAGGTGAATCGTGTCAACGAAGTTACAGGTGAACCTTCCGCACGTGTAACTATTCGCACGTATATAGCACTTGTTTTAATGCAATCGGCACCTATCCGCACGTATACAACACTTACCTTAATGCAATCGGCACCTATCCGCACGTATACAACACTTATCTTAATGCAATCGGCACCTATCCGCACGTATATAACACTTACCTTAATGCAATCGGCACCTATCCGCATGTATACAACACTTACCTTAATGCAATCGGCACCTATCCGCACGTATATAACACTTACCTTAATGCAATCGGCACCTATCCGCATGTATA